TAATATATGATTATTAGTATAAAGAATAATATAAAGGCAAGATCAAATTACAGAAAAATATGATTACGAACTCAGATACAATATTGTTAAAATTACAACATACATGCGTAGTTATTTATTAGACTTACAAATTTTAATATTTCGTTATTATTATGTAATACTACGTAGAACCTTAATATTATAAAATTCATATCATTATGAGTTTGATATAGTATATAAATATTCTTCTACTACAATTTTTTAAAAAAAGTAAAGTAATAGTTACAATTCAATATAATGTCCACATTTGCTCCGTCTGTTGAAAATTTTCCAAATTGTAAATCACTAATTGAATATGTACGAGCACTTTGTGCTTCTAATGGTTATAGCATATCTATTGCAAGGTCAAAGAAACACAAGGTATATTTGGGTTGTGACAGAGCAGGAAAGTATAGAAACCGGTTAAACCTTACAAATGAAACACACCAAAAAAATACAAGTTCCAGATTGATTGATTGTTCTTTTTCAGTCTGTGGTATTAAACAAAAAGACAATTCATGGACTTTATCTATTCGTGAACCATTATATAATCATGATCCATCAGAGAATTTATTAGCACATCCATCTTGTCAAAAATTAAATGAGCAAGCACAAGAACAATTAAGTGAAATGTCAATAGCTGGAGTTTAACCTTGGGAAATATTATCTTCACTTCGACAGTCTAATCCTTCAATTCTGGCAACATCACGTGATATATATAATGTTCGTAAAAAATTTCGTTTAGAAAACTTGCAAGGTCGCTCTCCAATTCAAGCACTTGTGGATGAGCTTAAAGAAAATCAATATATGTATGATTATTAGCATGATATTGACGGACGTATAACTCATCTCTTCTTTTCCCATCATAAATCTATTGAGTTGATACGTACCTATTCATCTGTATTACTCATAGATTGCACTTACAAAACCAATAAATTTCGAATGCCTCTTCTTAATGTTGTTGGTGTAACAGGTTCTAATTTAACATTTTTTGTATGTTTTATTTTTCTTAAAGATGAAAAAGAAGAAGATTATGAATGGGCATTAGCTCAAGTTTCTAGACTATTTGATGGAATTGAACAACCTAAAGTAATTTTGACAGATCGGAAGTTAGCACTCATGCATGCACTTGAATATACTTTTCCAGATTTGATGAATATTCTTTGCAGGTGGCATATTGAAAAAAATATTTTGTCAAAATGTAAGCGCTATTTCTGTACTGGAAATGAGTGGGAAACATTTTTTAAATGTTGGGCAAAAGTTATAAAGTCAAGAACGGAAGAAGAATTTAATATTCAATGGACTGAGCTGTGTAATCAATATAATGAAATTTCATTAGCTATTAATTATATTCAGGATACATGGATACCATTAAAAAAACAGTTTGTTGGTGCATGGATTAATGATTATCTTCACTTGGGTAATGTAACAACATCCCGAATAGAAAGTTCTCATGCAGTATTAAAAAAATACTTGCAGTTCTCAACTGGTAATTTACATACAGTATATGAAAAGATTACATTGCTATTAGAACATCAACATAATGAAATTAAAGCAATAATTGCTAAAGATAAGATTCGCACTTTTCATACTCATAATATCCCCTTTTATGCAAGAGTAATTAATAAAGTTTCTTCATTTTCTTTAAATAAAGTACATGAACAGTTTATTAAAGCTTCGCATACAACTCTTGATAATCCTCTTACATCTTGTAAAGGAACTTTTAATGCATCTATAGGCCTTCCATGTGCGCATATTATTCAGGAGCGTCTTGCTGCAAATCAATTATTGAGTCTTGATGATTTTCATAAGCACTGGTGGATCGAAAATTATCATCAATTACCTTTACAACCAGAAAAAAATTCATTACCGCAACTAATAGAAGAATTGAATTTGAAATATATCTCCTGGCCAGTTTTTCAACAGTTAGTAGCTCAAGATACACTATCAAGATTAATTGGAGAATCATCTACTTCATTGCTAGATCCTATAGTTCAGCGTACTAGAGGGCAGCCAATAGGTTCATTAAACAGAACTCAAGCTTCTACTAGAAGAGATCCATCGGCATTTGAACTAGAGGAAACTAGAAGAAAATGTAGTATATGTAAAAAAGGGGGTCACAATAGTCGAACATGTTCTGATCGTATAATTATGTTGAATATCATACAATAGTTTAAATTTTTTTGATTGCAAAATTACAGAATTATATAATATAGCGATATTAACTTTTTTAAATGGCTTATTGCATCTAACATTGAAATTTAAACTTAGTTAAGCAAATTAAAGTATTTAAATACAATGCTACAAGTAAAAATTACTATACCTGAATAATTATGTATATTTTGAATAATCTAATTCTCGATACTAGTAAACAATATCTAAATTTAGATTCAACAATTATAAAATTAAGTCTGTAATAATATATAACAGTGTTGATGAAATTAAATAAAAAATAGATTTGTAGATACAGTACTACTGATAAATATTTATTTTAAGCAAGAAATAAATAAGCTCTAAAGAAAAGATATCTAATCAACTATTAAATAATAGTTTCAAGCAAATTAGTCATTATAAATAGTAAAGATGAATTCATATCGATTAAGGATCAATATAATAGTAAGGGATGTTTTGTCCATTTTTAGACTTAG